GCGCTCAACCCTGTTACAGTATGGTTCAACCCTGTTACAGTATGGTTCAATCCTGTTACAGTGGCGCTCAACCCTGTTACAGTATGGTTCAACCCTGTTACAGTATGGTTCAATCCTGTTACAGTGGCGCTCAACCCTGTTACAGTATGGTTCAACCCTGTTACAGTATGGTTCAATCCTGTTACAGTGGCGCTCAACCCTGTTACAGTATGGTTCAACCCTGTTACAGTATGGTTCAACCCTGTTACAGTATGGTTCAACCCTGTTACAGTATGGTTCAATCCTGTTACAGTATGGTTCAATCCTGTTACAGTGGCGCTCAACCCTGTAACAGTATGGTTCAACCCTGTTACAGTTTGGTTCAACCCTGTTACAGTATGGTTCAATCCTGTTACAGTGGCGCTCAACCCTGTTACAGTATGGTTCAATCCTGTTACAGTATGGTTCAACCCTGTTACAGTATGGTTCAATCCTGTTACAGTGGCGCTCAACCCTGTTACAGTATGGTTCAACCCTGTTAGTTTGGTTCAATCCTGTTACAGTATGGTTCAATCCTGTTACAGTGCTTTCAATCCTGTTACAGTCTGTCCAACCCTGTTACTTGATATTTTTGATAACAATAACAAATTGAATTGAAATGTTTTCAAAGTTTAGAGGATGAGTAGATAACAAAAAAGCCTGATGTTATTTTTAAATAAATCATGAAAACACACTTTAACTGCTTGTACATTAATTTGCCATATTCTACTTAACAGTCAAATTATTATTATTTAGAATCAAATAAAATATACTTACACTAAGTTAATTTACACAAGAGACAGGTGATTACAAAGGAACTGGTAGAATTAATTTGATTATGTTTTAGAGATATACACAAACAAGAACCAAATTGTCCTGTTACTGGGTTGAATTTAAAACAACTTAAGTAACAAAGAATTTCCTAATAATATTTGGGATTTCATGCATAAGGTGGAAAAACATGTTTTCTCAGAGGTTCAAATAGTCCTTCTGTAGATGCAATGTTCAGAAACACAATTTTTTGGTAAAATTTTCAGTAACCTGAGAACCCAAAGGGCACCGAATTCAGAAAATCACCTGGTCACCATCTCATACTGAACCAAAACAAGATGGTGTCCTGTTTCTTTTGACTCAACCTGTGGAATCCACCTGTGTGAAATTTAATCCCAGTAGACAGCTATTTTGCAAAGGCCTCAGAATATTGGTGAGCAAACAGCCTCATTCAACCAAGGAACACACCAGACAGTGTTTTATAACCACTTTAAATTACGTAACACATGTATTCCTGACCTGTCTGGCATGTTACTTTCTCTTCATGATGCTGCAAATGTACCACATACAGTAAAATAAATAAATAAATAAATAAATAAATAAATAAATAAATAAATAAATAAATAAATAAATAAATAAATAAATAAATAAATAAATGTTTGTGGTATTCAAAGTTAAACATGTGAAAAGCTTGAATAATAATATCTTTTTATCCAAAACACTTACAGCTGCTCGAAGAGTCGGAGCTCTGAGAACCTCGTTCCCTGGAGTCTTTCTCTGGAGCTATCTGGCGTGTGATGATGACGTCGATGAAGTTAGCGGCTGTGATGGTTGTCTTTCCGTGAGTACGAAGCTCCTCCACGATGCGGGACTTTGTTGGAGGGGCGTTGTCCTTCAGCCCGACGCCTGGACCCTCTGTGTAACCTGGGTGGGGCTTACCACCTGGCAGAGACATGACACAGCGCCTTTCCGCCTCCTGCTGGTGCTCAGGCAGGACTGGTGCTCGCCGCACCGAAGCCGATGAAGACATTTCGTCGTCCCTCTCGTGCTTATTCTCCTTCATCTTTGGGAGCTCTATCTGAGGAGGGGCAGCTGCAGCGTCCACCAAAGCAGCCAGAGCATCAGCTGCTGTGCCGTAGCGGGAGCTGTTTTGTGAAGCCGATGATACTGCAGGAGGATGAGGCCTGGGAGGAAATGGAGATATGAGGACATCAACAAGTTTTCCTCAAATACTGTAAAACCAGTGACTTTTTTCTTTTAAAGAATAGATCTCTGGGTTGTCCCTTAGTGCAGCTTTATGATAATGTAACTACCTTATTTTCAGGACTATAAGTCACACTTTTATTTATATATATTGCCKTGAGAGGGCACTCTAGGCTTGAGATGACTACAGTCAATGTTCCTGACAGGAAAAAAGAAATATGCAGCCCAAATCGAGCAGCGGAAAGAAAGCTTGGAATGAATGAGAAACTTGAGGGACTGGTGAAAAGCAGGGGTTACTCTTACTGCACTGACGAAAATGAAGAAAGCTAATCTTATGATGTGGAATAAAATTAGTGAATTTACCATTAACTTGCTTGTTGGCTTGTTATGTTTAGGCTATTTGACATTTAAAAAAATAAAATTCCTTATGTGTATGGCTCCCACTTATTTCAGACAGACTTCAGGATTGCAGTGTGCCCTCTGGTGGGGAAACATTATTTGGGGACACACACTTGTGGCCATGCTTGTTGGATAATTTTTGGGGTTAAATTTCCTTTATTATACACAAATACGGTAGTCATTTTCCTGTAAATGCCGTTTTCCTCATCAGAAGAACTGGTTAGTGTTGTAAGATAAAGCAGTTTTAATCTTACATTAGAGAAGTGATGACACTCTTTCCTGGGAAGACGCTCGGCCGATGTGGAACTACCACGTCCTGAGTCCTAAGCGAGGGCAATGGGGAGAGCTGGAAACCTGGCCGGCCAGGCTGCTCTAGAGCACCTTTAAAAATAATGACGAAAGTTTCAAAATGAAGTTCAAGAGCATGACTTCCTGTATTAAGAAAAGTTTGAAGTCTGATTTTAAAAAGACTGATGTAGTTCTGAATGGCAGCGACAAGACTTACCTCCACGTATGTATTCATTGGTTCGCTCCCGCTCTCGTTCTCGCATTTCCCGCTCCCGCTCGCGTTCCCTCTCCCTCTGCTGCTGCTCCCTTTCCTTTTCCCGTTCCTTCTCCTGCTGCTCCCTCTCCCGTTCTCTCTCTGCAGCGTGATGGACTGGATGGCCTGAGCAGAACAGGGGACAACATGCATGCAAAACTCAGAAACGCACTGCTCGTTTGGTTTTACACCAGCTGTGCTGTGTCGGAGTTACATCAGGGTTTCCACTTCAGTTCCCATGTTAGCCTATCAGAACCCAGCAGAACCTTTCAGACGGAACGGCTTGAAGGAGTTTCACTATCGACCTGTGTCAGCAAAAATATATAACTAAAACATTCGTTCATCAACGTTTTCACTTCCTATCAGCAAAAATAAATCTTATTCGACTGTTCCTGTTGAACGTCTTCCTTTATTTTATTTATTTTTCTGCTTCCGTCACTGAGCCTGGGTAATTAGTTTTGTTTTATCCCATGAACAATTAATAGCAAATGACAAAGAAATACCCTTGAATGGTTGTCGGGCATTTTAAATTTGAGTTAGCTTGCCTTCCCTTTACTTTTTGGTGTGYGATGATCAAAAGCACATGAAGCTCAGACCCAGCTGATTAAAAACACTTACTGTTTTTTTATTTACTAATTTTTGTTCCCTTAGTGGAAATATTAAAAAAAACACCTCTCAGGACACACTTTGATTGTAAGACACATTTCACAATAAAAATAAATAAGAGTGAAGTTACAATGACATTTTGCTAAATTTTTAAAGGAAAAAAAAGGCTTTAAGTTAATCAACACAGATATGTCTACCTTTGGACTGTCTCAGTATTTTCAGTGGTGGTGATATAATTTGTAAAACAGGCTTAATTAATTCACTCAGTCAGTTGGTCAGTATCCTCACTGCACAAGCCACATTAGTGTTAGAAACCTTGGCCATGCTGCCGAGTTCTTGTTCTCCCACAACAAAAATGACCATGTTAGGAAAACTGTCACACAACTCCAACTGTTCTGAAGTACTGCTGGTTGTAAGGCACGTCCAGCGAAACGATTCACAAACTTATTAATCATATTTGGATTACAGAATAAATTTGCCATTAAAATGTCCAACACAACTGGTTTTGTTGGAATCCACATTTAAGAGTCAATTTCAGACAAATGGAAATTAGAAAAATGCAAACAAAAAGATGGAAAACAAACAATTCAATCGATTCTTTTTTTAAGTGCTCCTGACACTGACTGTCACGGGTCCRTGTGTTTCGATTTTCGTTTTAAAAACAGTTATCGAAAAACGGACTCTTATTCTTGTTTCTTTTTTATTTCGTTTTTACTCCAAAACCGGGAAAACGGATGTTGTTTTATTTTTAATACACCAGAAGTTTAACACRGTTGTTGTCAGATCATTTAAGGTRGAGCTAGTTAAAAAACATTTTAAGAACAGGCAGCTGCTTGTAAATAAATAGATCCTAGCTAACTACTTTTGCATCTCTGTAACTAACTAACTGCAGCCTGTATTTTTTATTAATTTCATTTTCCAGTTTTTGGAGTATGAAATTATAAACAAACTGTCCATTTTTCTTTTTTTTTTTTTTTACATCCGCTTGTAAAAATAAATGACCAAAACGGACAGTCACGTAACACCTGAACAGCTGTTTATGTAACTGGTAACACTGATCTGTGACACATCAGACCAGTGCACAGCTGCACTCTTACCGAGTGTGAGGAAACATGGAGATCGTGGCAAGAAACACAAGGGAAGAGAAGGTGTAGGAACAGGGGGAGGAAGGGAGGGAGGGAGGGATCCTCACCTGGCGATATGGAAGCTGGGTTGAAAGCTCTAGGAGGGAAAGGGGGCTGAGGTCCAGGGAGGTAGGCGGTTGGCCGTTCCATAGTGGGAGTACCTGTTCCCCCAGGATGAGGCAACAGGATAGTTGGAGGCATCTGGGCTAGATCAAAAATCCCTTTTACAGACAGAAGCAAAGGGCCAATGGTGAAAAACATGAACTGATCCATCAATTTCTTAATGAATGAACACTTAGCTGTAACCCATCACCTTCATCAAATAGGACTTCCAAATACAGATTGTTCAGTAAGCAACAGGGCTGCAAACAAAGTGGAACAGTGGTCAAGCTGTAAAAAGCAAAACCACTCAGCAAATCAAGATTTGAATGACTATACCCAATCGAAAAACTGAATWGTAGCCGAATCTGTTGCAGCCCCGATGTAAAAAGCAAATCAGCAAAATTTGCAAAGGTCGTTTGCTTCTGGGCGTCTGGAAAAGGTAAGCCACTATTCACAAGCACACACTCTGCATACTACAGCCCCTACGGCCCACAACTCCTCCGCTGCAGGTCGTAGCAGATGGGAAATAGTCTGCTAGGTGAGGGCCATACCTCGAGCTCCGGGTGCAAAAAGGTTGGCGACAGGCTGCTCCCGTGGCGACAGCCCTCTGGCCAGGTCAGCCCGAGGCATCTGGTGGGAAGTGATGTAATCGTTCAGGATGGTCTGCCGCATGTTCTCCATGGTGTACAACTGGTGGGTGTTATGGTAGCCTGTTGGGGATGGCTGCCTGGGAAACATGAATGCTGTAACACAAAAAAACAACAACAAAAAAAAAAACACATATGAACAGAAGGCTCACAGAAACCGACCATAAGTGCTGACTTAGAGGACCTGAGTTTTCTTCTAGTTTTATCACCGTACCAGGATCCAGCACTCTGTGGAAGGCCATCTGAGATTCCAGATGTGGATGCAAGTGGGGTCGGTACACTTCTCCAGGAACCACAGGCCGGTGGTGGGGGTCAAAGGGGCTGTGAGACGCTACGGGGTCGCCTCCTGACACAGGCGACTTGGCTGGGACGCTGTCCCTCTGAGTCGGGGTCATGGAACTCTTTCGGTCATGTGCAGCTGATTTTGAGCTCATGGCACCTTTAAAATAAATAAATAAATGAATTAATAAAAGGAACACAAACGGTTTACACTTAGTTAATGCAACAATTTAATACTTTTAAGTCCATCGCAGAAAACTACAGCAACAAACTACAACCTGGAATTAACATTTTATAATCCTTTATCCTCCTAAATAACACCCTGAACACAGCTGGCACTATAATACAACCTAGATATGAGATTACATTCAGAGTTAAAAACAGGTGTGAATGGTCTCAATGTAGCCTGGCCCTCGCCTTCCAACGCAGCTCYGCTCAATTCTAGTTTCCCTTCACTGCTCCGTCTGGGATTTCTCCTGTAGACAAGGATTTTCTGGCATACACATACGTTGCTGCCAACCAATCCAATCATTTCAAACTTCAACGGAGGCCACGCCTCCAGCAAGAATCGCTTCTCTATAGTCGAGGGTCCAGACCCTCGTATGAAGCAAAGCGAAGGACAAGGGTCTGGTTTTAACCAGGCTAACGTTCGACAAGTTTTTGTTGTTTTTTTTTTTTTTTAATCTGCCGGGGGAAAAAAAGTTAAAATTTAATAAAATAGAACAGAACATTGATCGACATTGAACATTACTAGTACTTATTCAAAGAGAGTGCAGCCTTTTTAAAATAAAAATTACATGACAAAAAATCTGCGATCTCAATGGGATTTGCCTGGTTAAATCACAGTAATTAAATAAATGAATGAAAAGTGAAATTTCATTGGAATTAGTTGAATCTTACATATCTCATATCTAAAATACAAGTAAGATATCTTGAACAGTGATGTCGTTTAAGATATCTATAATTGGAGACACATCGACCTGCCTGAATTTGTGTTTTATGTGCCCTGGGCAATCAGGAACTGTGGTTGATGAACCCCGATGCATATGTTGTGAACATAATCCTGCTCCTCTTAATGAACTGATGTGACCCCACACAAGCTGGATGTCTCAGGGTAAAAAAATACAAAATATCTGTTTCAGCTGCTGGCTGACTAAACACCATTAAAATGGATATCTTTGGGAAGACATGACTTTTTTTATTTGTTTTGTCTTTTAACTAAAAGTTAGGTTTTTTTATCAGAACCCCTTTAAAAAATGTCTGTTTTGTTGAATTTTTCATTTTTACAAGTAAACAGAACAGTGTGGTGAGTCTCTTTATCTGTTCAGAAAGTTTTTAGAGCTAATTGAACAACTTGTGGGAACCTCAGTGAGCTGTCACCACTCTTGTGTTTTTACTCACTGACTTGAGTTTTTCCTCCCTGGTTGTGTGTGTATTTAAAGACCGCAGCTGGCATACTGTTGCAAAATGTTTTAAGGTACACATTTACCGATGGTTGTCAATGCTGTCAATCTCTTCACTTGCAATCTAAATCACCCAAAATGGATTTATAAGTCTGAACGGGTCTAAAAAGATTCATCAAGCAAAATAAATGTGACCCACGCTCACAAATTTTTTTGAAATGAGGCTGATATTGAAAGCTGCTATGCTACCTGTTAGCTATAGTAGTGCTGTGAAAGCTCATTGTATAATATTTGATGTTATTACGAAAAAAAAAATTTTTTTTTTCAACTGACAATCTTATAAATAAGACTAGCTTGTTGCTAACTTGGTGATAAATCCTTAAATTTTAACAAATCTTCTATCACTTTGAAGATTTTGAGAGGGAGAATTTGAAAATAAAACCTCAAAAATGAAATGAATGAGGTCCTTAAAAAGTTCAGTTTGTGAATAAACTGAAGAGGAATGTACCATCTGAAGGACGTCCCATCATGGGTGAACCTCTGGAAACAGGATTGTTGTAGTTCACTGGGGTCCTGCGAGCGTTGGCGTCCTCGTACATGCCCGGGCTGTGCTGGGCTTTGTTAGCCTCCTGGTGTGTGGAGCGCAGGACGGAGGCGGCGGTGGAGTTAACCACAGAAGTGTGGCGGACCGCCTTGCTCTCCTCGTATTTGGCTCGTTCCATTGCTTCGAGTTGGGGCATGCTGTGGGGAAGCTTATTGGGACTGGTGATGAGAGACTTGACATTGTGTTTGATAGTGGGCTGGCCCAGGGAGTGGATCTGTTGATGGGGAGAAGAGGTTTAAAACAAGAGACTCGTCAAACTAAAGATCTGCTTGAGAATTTTAGATTTTCAGTTTAATAGGAACCCTGGCTAGTTGTAATATTAGACATTAGTTTTAATATATTTTTAAAAATATATTGTCATATGGAAGGTGCAATATTGTTTACGCTGTAAAGCATACTGGCTAAATGATGTTTACTARGTGTTCTGTGAAAGGACTGTTTTCCTCCAGTGGGAGGCTGTGATTAAGCTCTATCCACTCTGAAATTAATTTTGTACAATATCTGACGATCAGCCCTTTTAAACAAAACCAGAGCACCTTGACAGCGAGGAGAATGTAGAAATAAGAACAACAGAGCTGCTTCATGGAGCAACGTCAGCTTAGACTGTTAGCTTTTGCGTTAGCGCGCAAGCTAATACATCTGTTTTCAGTCCTTCGTCACCTGCAATGTTTTCTAGAAAAAAAGGGAATGCTTGCCACAGATGTGGATTTTTAATACATATATTTAAAAAAATTATAATTAAAAGATTGTTGTCCTTAGTAGTTTCACTACTATAGAGCACATTGACAGTGTAGTTACATTATAGTCCAATAAATCAACTTAAAAAATTTGAATTCAATAGAAAATTGTTTATTAAAGTATGACAGTTATTATTTATTGAGGGAATTATAACATTGTCTAGGAAAGTAGGTCAGTTTATAGCAAGTAATATTTTAATATATAAATATTTTAACAAATAAATATGTACTTTTTAAATTTATATATATATATATATATGTTATATTAAAACCATTTACAGTACATTATTCAGCACACCTTAATAATTAAGGATGGAAAGAATTATTTCCAGTATTTTTTCGTAAATCAAGCACATAAATCTGTGATCAGGAAGCATTTCTTTTAGCACATGCACAAATTAGCTGCTAGCTTAGTACGTATCGTGTTTCCGGGTCAGATTGGGTAGTGACAGTTCATGTGCTGAAGAATGTTAGCTTGGGAACTAATAAATATGTGGCGGAAGTTCATAAATCGCTAACATTATATCGCCATGTACTGTGTATTACTATTTATTAGCTCAGGCGCTAATGTGAAAGCTAAATTGCCAAGCAGACGTTCTTCCATGAAGCAGCTCTGTTGTCCTCCATCCATATTTTCAGTTCCAGGCTGAGTCATTTCTACCTTCCACTTTCTTTCAACACACTGGTTTCATTTAAAAGGGCTGATCATTAGACATTGTCCAAAATTAACCTTCAGTATGGATAGAGCTTGTACCAGAGGGAAAAAAATGCCTCGTTCCAAAGCAGAACCAAGTGTCATCATTTAATGTATGCTTTGCAGCCTAAATAATATTGCCCCATCCATGTGACAACATATAGTTTTTTAATTTATAAAAACCAAACAGCCTACAGTTTTTTTACAATCTTTGTTATATAGTTGAGTTAGATGTTGATCAAATATTGTCTAATGTTAAAAGTAGTCGGGTTCTCTTTAATTAAAAGTATAGTCAAACCTGTGGCATGGGTCCCTCAATCACTCTCCTGTCAGGCAGGTCGGGAGTCTTGCGCAGATCCTGACACTCACTGGGGATTTCGTGAACAGAACGACCCATTTCTTTGATGGTACTGACTCCTTCATAGGGCTTGCCTTTGCCAATCGCCCCATCAAATGAACGGATCGGTGGGCTTTCTGTTTTGATCCGTTTCCCATATTTCATGGCTTCCTCGTAATTGTCAGCGGCCGTTCTCGGGGTCCCTGAATAATGTTGAAAAGTATTTCAGTCCCTTTTTCTTACTTGATGCTACTAATAACATTAAAATGTGACAATCTTTATAATTAGCTACCGTGCATGATGGATCCAGTGATTAAGTTTCGCTCCTTAGAATCTCCGTGGTGGCTTTCTCTTGGTAAAGCTCTACTTATCAATCCTGGGGAAATAAGAGGGAAAAAAAGGCATCATTCGAATCTGAAACAAAAAACACAAGCAGGACACGCAGACTGTAAACAGAAATATAAAAGGTACCCTCAAACGGAGCCCCCTCTCTGCCAGGGTGTCCTCTCCCCAGGGGTCCCTCCATCAAATCATGAGTGCGCTTTAGCTCGTGGCATGTTCGGGGGCTTCGAGTGGTTTCCCTTGAGTTCTTCATCGCTTTTTAAGAATAAAAAGCGTAAGTGTGAACTCGATGAAGAAAAGCAACTGTTTTTCTAAATAAAAGTTGTAAGGTACGTACGATCGTAGGAGAGGATGTGACCGCTCTTGCCTTCATAGATGACGTGACCCTTGGCCTGCTGTTCCCCCCTGACCTTATCCAGGTTGCTCAGATCTTCTGCCACCTTGGTTATTGTGTTTTTATAGAGGTCAGCAGCAATGCTAGGCTGAGGAAGAGCTGGAGTGCCCTATTTAAATGCAGAGCAAAATGATTTAACTTAAACAACAAAAACTGTACGCAGTTATGTTACGTTTCCACTGAGGAAAAATAGACAAATAAACTAAACAATCATCTATTAATTACCAGAGTAATTGATCCTCTGAAAGGGTGGCCCTCACCAACCTTTGAGGAGTTGTCTCTGCCATCTTGAATGGTTGAAACCGGAGTCCCTTGAAGGTTAAAAAGAGAAGAAGGGACTTTGGTCATCTGTGGCTGGTGTTAAAGAAAGAAGCTCTAAAGACTCCCCTACTTATGTTTCACCCTGAATCTATGAATTCAGGAGAGATTAGTGGTGTAAATCACCAGCTTTAGCACAAAACGGTTTGTTTGGATGACGATACAATGTTTYTCGATATCACAGTTATTAGTTCAATTAAATACACAAGTCTGCATCTGATATGATGTGATTTATTCCCATCTCACACCATGATGATGATTTGGATATATATTTTTGCTTTGCCTTGATGCAATTAAATCAATAATCATTTAATCAATGTATCGATGTGGCTCGATGTATAGCTACACCCCTAATAAACGTATAATACAGATGTCAGAACCCAGAAACATACTCTGACTGGGAACTGGAGTTGAGCAATATTGGCCAAAGAATTGCGGCATTTCGCAGATGATTAATTGATGACAATTGCACTTGCATGTTTTTGACTCTAGTTTCCTTATGTCAAACTAACGTCTTCATTTTAACAGGTAGGTATGAACTGAAACCCACCTTTTCCATTATGCTGTTTAAACAGCAACGTTACAGATATATCTTTTCTGTACTGCTATTTTAGCAAAATAGAAAAAAAAATCAATTTCATCGATCTTGGATTGATTTCATTTAAATTTGGGAAAATCGATTCACAGGGCATGAGATCAATTCTTCCCCATGTGTGCGCGTCTGAAACACATTTCTATATTTTGTCACTCCTGGCTTGCTGTATATTTAAATCCAGTTGACGTTCAATGCTAACATTAGCTTTCGATAACAAGTTGTCTGGAKCAAAACAAAAGAAACTAAGGAATCACTAACATTACCAGCCGACTCTCAGCAGAACTTAAAGACAACAGAGACCACGATGACTTTTGTTTGCAAAGATTTGTGCTCCTATGCAGTAAAGAAAACAAAGCAGACGAGTGGCTCGTTAGGCGCTCGAACCAAACTACAGTATGAAAACATCTGACTGAAACTGTTCTCCACTGACATGATTAAATGTGTTAAAGCTGACATTCTAACAAAATCGTTTAGTTTTGGTACCAATATTACTATTTTTAAACTTTAAGAAACATGTAAATGAAATCCACAGTGATGAAATGTTGTAGTTGTATTATTTGTTTTAATAAGTTATAAGTAATAAATTTCAATAAGTTATATTGAACATAACAGAAGGTAACAGAAACACAGACAATTATTAATTTCCTAAAAATGAATTCCTCCAACACTGTCACCTGCAAACTCTTTTTAATTTAAAACCTTTTAAACTTGACAGTTTCCTTCAAGATTAAACTGTTTAATATAAAAGTTTGTCCTTATGGTAAAGAGAAAAAATAGTGATTTTGTATTTTGCAACACAATTGAACCATTTTCATTATTTAGGAGCAGATCGAATCGTGATTGAATACGAATCAAAATCGAATCGATCGAGAGAATTGGCCATGATACCCAGCCCTAGAAGTGGAGGCAGATCTTTAGTAACGCAATACACCACAGGCTTGTTAGTGAGAGTGTGTTACTTGTAAAAAACTTCATCACACGGCACTAACTGCAGTAAATGCAAAGTAACAAATATTAATTGTGACAGTTTTTCTGATCATTAATTTCACACAAAATAATTCTGTTCAACTCAAAAAGTTGTGGAAAATTTGGAAGCCAGACGTTGGTGCCCATCTCTTTTTTTTTGTTGTAGAGAACGCAGGATTACCAGCAAGAGGTGGATGTATGGAAAGCCAAATAGATGATCATTTGTACACTTTGCCTCTGCTGTTTAAACAGCAATGTTACAGATATGATATCTTTTCTGTACTGCTATTTTAGTCTTGGAGTTTAAACCTTTTGTTTGACACACAGCTGGAGTAACATAGTACATTAAATTTATTGATTTTTATTTACTAGTTGAGAAATCCTATTTTTATTAACATGATCTACTGCATTAGACATTCCCCAATAGCTACAGAACCTGTCCAAAAACATTCATGCTAGCTTGTTGTAGGCCCAGGCCACCCTTGAAAAAGAGATATGTGATCTCGATGAGATTTGCCTGGCTAAAATAAATAACTTGTATCCCATTATGCCCCTAAACACAGAGAAAAGACTGATTTTATCGTAGTTGATAACTGTTCATATTTGCCCAGATTAAAAAGTGATTCAAAGWGCCATCTACTGCCTTCCTTTACAAATAACAAACATATTGGTTC